TTAACCTTTCGGGATTTACTTAATCACACATTATATTACATAAAGCACCTCGAGGCTTCTGTTGTTGTCATTTGGCACAATATAAACAAACTGGAGTGAATTTAATCGTGGGAATCTCTTCTGATTCCTCCGCCCCCTTTCCAGGTGTTCATGTCTGTAGATGAGCAGGATGCAGGAAGCCAGGAGACCCCCAGCGGAGAGGACAGCACCCCCACAATGACCAACCTGGTGCCCCCCGTGGCCCTCCCACAAGAAGAGCGTCCTCTGGTAGAATTCGATTCCCCCGACTCAGGGCTCCCCTCCTCTAGAAACTACTCTGTGACCTCTGCTCACTCCCAGATCCTGTCTAGTATCGATGACGGTCAGAGCACAGAGGAGGAGGGCGGGGGCGCGGAGGACGGCAGGACTCCCAGTGAGGGGTGCCGGGACTCTCTGACGGAGGACAGGCTGTGCAGTCAGCTGGACAAACTGGTGACCAGCGGAGCAGCTGCTGAGGGGACGTCACCATCGCTCTCTTCCTATACAGTACGTACAGTGTGTGGTGAGTGACACCAACCTGCAGCCTGGACACACTGTGCAGTAACACTGAGCAGAAAAGCATTTTTCATGTTCCAGATCGAGCTGTTGGACACGGTCGCCCTCAACCTGCACAGAATAGACAAAGACGTCCAGCGCTGTGATCGCAACTACTATTATTTCACCACGAGCAACCTGGAGAAACTCCGCAACATCATGTGCAGGTAGAGAAAGACCTGAAGACGCAAGAAGATCCTTCTGTTGTTTTATGACGATGATTCAAATGAAACTGCAATGTGAAGCTTTCCAGCAGAGAGACAAACCTGTTTTACTCGACGTGTCACGTGATGAGTCAGGTAGTCGCATAAACCCAGGACAGGTCGGTTTCTTTTGCTGTAAACAAAATCAAATCGTTTCAGTCAGCCTTTACTAACAGCTGCTACTGTTGAATATCAAAGAAATGCGTCTGTATCGCTCCGTGGTTTAACTGGTGTGGCATCGCAGGCGCTGGTCTCTGTTAGTAAGAAGGCTGTAAAACTGATCCAGGGTCAGGTGCAGTGAACGGATCTGTTCTTGCTTCCTGGTGAAGCGATGCTCGGCCTGTCCGCAGCTTCCAGTGACAGACAGCTGAGTACTAACTCATGTTTGATACCCAAGTCTACTTTATGGACCTCAGTGCTAAATGGCATCATGCTGGCTGCTAGGGCTGCCAGGGCTATGTGAGACAGGCCTTTAAGGTGGAATTAATTAAGCCGTTATTTAAAAAGCCATCAATTATAGACCTCACAAATTCTTGTGAGTAGTTGTAAAACAGCTGATCATCTGCAGAGGAGCTGCTTATTTGTCAGAGTGGGCAGTGAGCTGACTGCAGATCTGCAGATCTGAGACGTACTCTGAGGGTTTGGCTACTCTCTTCACTTTTAAATTCATTGCTGAATACTGTATGTACAGGAGTATTAGATGATTACTTGTGTAGTGATGAGCAGTGTTGGTCAAGTTACTTGAAAAAA